TTTAAGGTCCTTTGTGCCTCCCCTAGCAGTTGTTAGTGCACCTGAGCAGTCCTTAGCGGTACGGCAACTCATCGAAAGCATAAATTTTACCACTAAAATGATATTTTTTCTTAAAATAATACATTTTTTGTCACTAAATATACTACCTTGTATTATAAGAATGCCCTAGGAGGTATTTTAAGGTCCTTTGTGCCTCCCTAGCAGTCTTTTGTGTATCTGAGCAGTCCTTAGCGGTCCGGCAACTCATCGAAAGCATAAATTCTATCACAAAAATTATATTTTTTCTTACATTTACAATAATACATTTTTGTCTATTAACTTACTACCATATATTATAAGAATGTTCTAGGAGGGATTTTATGGTCCTTTGTGCCTCCCTAGCAGTTGTTAGTGCACCTGAGCAGTCCTTAGCGGTCCAGCAACTCTTCAAAAACATAAATTTTACCACTAAAATGATATTTTTTCTTAAAATAATACATTTTTTGTCACTAAACATACTACCTTGTATTACAAGAATGCCCTAGGAGGTATTTTAAGGTCCTTTGTGCCTCCCTAGTAGTCCTTTGTGGCTCCTTAGCAGTCCTTAGCAGTCCTTAGCGGTCCTTAGCAGTGTTTAGTAGGACCCGGGGGAAGGGGGTTGTGTGGTTAATAATACTTTTCTTGATTTGTACATACAAACAAGATCATAATGTAAGGGATGGTCTTGTGTAAAGAAGACTTTACCTCTCGTTCCTTACAGTCTAATTAAAGTCTTCTGTTTCTCAACTTACACTATTACCATATAGTACAGGTATACAACGTTGCATGAATTTAACAGATTATTTAAGTTAAACAACATACATGTATATACCATAAGCCTTGAACATCTAACACAACATAACATTTTGCAGTTTGAATTTATTTTTCGTTTAGCATTAAAGTAAAGAACGATTAAACATTCGATATAACATCTGTGCCACCCAGATAACATGTACATAACAAAACCATAATGCCTTAAAAATGAAGTAATTAGCTGCCATTGCTATGTAGATATAAAGAAAAATCAACAAGAGCTGTCAGTAAAACAGTGTGTTCGACTACTCTCAGTGCTTGATAGTGAAACAAGAACCTGGATAATGTAGAATTTTCACCCTCAAAAAGGACATAATTCTGTAAAAATTCATGTTAGAGTTATGGGACTTGGACAGTGACCACCTTAAAGACATTTTTCCTCTCATAAGTGTGAAGTTTCAACCCATTCCCTTCAGTTTTTTTGAGATACAAACTTGCACGCAAAAACTTAACCAAAGTGTGAAGGCAACATTGGTACAACACCTGGGTGAGTACAAGAGCCCTCCCTATTCTTCAAATAGTCAAGCTTAAAACAAATACAGCTTTGTTTTTATAAAAAAGAAAACAATTGTTCCCAGTTTAATGATCATAGAAAGTATTCATTCTGTTGGCTTTAACCCACGTATTGTCAGGTCATACACGACTTCCTCTACTTTCTTCAGGTCATATTTCAGACCATCAAATCTTTTTCTCAGTGAATCATTTTTAAGGTTGAGAAGTCTAAAACCGGAGTCCAGCTCTCCCACAAACTTTGCGATTCTCATTGGTCTACCGTAGTCACCGGCTGTCACCGAATTTACTGCCAGTCTCGACTGGAATAAATTAAAGGTATAGTTACACAAGTATGAATACATGAGTTATATGTTTATTTATTATATATCTGATAAATCTAACCAATTGACAATCTGCATTTGTACCTCCAAAATATTCCCGAATTGGATAAACAAAAATATATTATTTTCGTATTGGACCGTTTGGTATGTGTGCAGTAAACAATACTGATCTGGTATCCGATTTCAAAAGGCAAAATGTAAATAGACGTAGAAATTTCTGACTTTGTCAACGGACAGTAAGCTAAAAACACTTTGAGCAAGACAAAATCAGACGGAATATTTATGCAATGGTTGACTGCTACATTTCCACCTGAATCGCGCAACTTGGAAGAAATTCTCTCTGCACAGCTGAACTTGTTCTTGAAAAGTTTTTATTTGAGAGTGAGGAAGGGAAACGGGGATGAGTACGAACCAGAAAGCCTTATTTCTATGAAGCACAGCATTGACAGGTATTTATGCGAAAAATTATATGGATATAGTGTGTGCCGTGGGGATGAGTTTAAATGCAGTCGAGAGGTGCTAAGTGCCAAGGGTGATTATATTGTACATTTTTCTGTACAATACGGAATATATTTGGACTTGTTTTTGCTGTGTTTTTTTCTTTAAATATATACTGGCACAAACTTTTGTAAAATATAAATTACTTTTTACACAAGCAAACAATATCTTATTTCATTATGATTTTTCTTTATTTGTTTATTTTTCATATTACTGGAAATTATTTCAAAATGAGTTTGTGGTATCTGCTTTGTTGCACATAAATATATAAGCATAAATATACCAATTCACTGGCCAGTTGCAAGAGTCCCATCAAGTAATCATCTAAATCTATATGAAAACCTTCTTGTCTGTCTGTTTTTACTGAAAATATACAAAATCCAATCATTACTATATATCATATGCTACCCCAATCAATATTGTTATATGATTTTGAATACTTCAAACTGTACATTTATTTTAATTTCTAAGGTAAATAATTCAGGGAAATGATTCAGCATTCAGCAAAATGAATTAAGCATGACCTAACAGTAAGAAATTGTTTGTAGCAGTGTTTAAAGGCTGCTGTAAGAATAAATGATGTTTGTCATCAGTTTATACTCTGTGTTGTCCAAACTGTGTGTGAATTACTAGTAATGTTAGTTAGTAATCAACATGCAGGGCCTATTGATATAACTGTAATATAAACTGATGGGTAGTTATCGTATCATATTTTGATATAGCACTAGTCCTGAAAATTACTTATAAATTCTGAAAACAAGTATTGAAGTTAATTTACTGGCGAACAAGTTACATTTTTCAAATTGTTTCCAGCCAAGTTAGACACAAAACATTTTTCTTTCATTTGGAGAAATTATAGTATAATTGAACAAGAGCTGTCACAGGAGACATCGTAGCTCGACTAATAAAATACTGGACGCAGTAAGGGAGACAAAACTATGAAAGAAAAATCAATTATGTATAATTATGTACTGGACGCAGAAAGGAAGACAAAACTATGTAAGAAATATCAATTATGTATAATTATGTTTTAAGTTATAGTAAAAAAAAAACATTGTTAACATAAATTCCAAGATCAAGGGGAATAATTCTGGAAATAGTCACGCTAGAGTTATGAACCTTGTCACACAACATGTGTGTAATGATAAGAAATATATATTATTAGTTTGCAGTAGATACCTAGTAAAGAAGTTATAATATTTCTTAAAGAAAATCCTAAGTTCAAAGACAGATAAATCTGTAAATATTGCTTCAAGAGTTATGAACCTTGTCACATAAAATGTAATTGATGATAAGGAATAAGTATTTGAAGTTTGATGTAGATACCTTTAAAACTAAAAATGTTATAGAAAAAAATAACATTTTTAAGTAAAAAAATCTTAGTTTATGGGGAGATAATTCTTGCAATATTGGGTTATGAACCTTAACACATAACAAGTGGTTAATGATAAGGTACATATATTTGAAGTATGAAGTTGATCCCTTATAAAATAAATAAGTAAAAATAATATTGTTTAAGGAAAATTCTAAGTTCAAGGGGAGATAAATCTGAAAATATTGGTGCTAGAGTTATGAACCTTATCACATAAGATGTGGATGATGATAAGGAACATATATTTAAAGTATGAAGTTGATCCTTTAAGAAATAAAGAAGTAACAGTAAAAAATAGTATTTTTTAAGGAAAATTCTAAGTTCAAGGGGCGATAAATCTGAAAATATTGGTGCTAGAGTTATGAACCTTGTCACATAAGATGTGGTTGATGATAAGGAACATATATTTGAAGGTTGAAGTTGATACCTTAAGCAATGACAAAGTTATAGTGAAAAATATTTTATTGCACCAAAACTTTAATCTGAAATCTGGATGCGAACGCCGACGCGAGTAGGACAGCTCTATATTTACTTCGTATAGTCGAGCTAAAAATTAAATGTTTATAAACATAAATCTTGCTTCACAATGTCATATCTCCTGATACACACTGTAAAGTATGATACCTCTAACAGTGAGCAGTAGAATGTTTACCCTAGTACTGGTACCTATCAGGTTTATATAATATATTGATTCTACAGGTTACAATTGTACATGTATTGTAAATAAGTGTCAAATGCAAATATAGTCAGACAGATGATACATGTAAAACTTTCATTGTTTATATTTTTCTTTACCTCCAATCATTTGTGCCACCGTTTCCCTGGTAACCAAAGTTTCTGACTGTAAATATATTAGATAGGCCGACAGGAAAGCTAGCCTCTGTATCACAAACCTCCATTGATCATTATACCTGAAAATGATTATAAACTTAAGATTTTCTATTACTTATGTCCAAGTGTACAGGTGAGCAAGACCAAAATTAAATAAGATATGAATGAAAGTCAGTCATATATGTAACAGGCTGTGAAATAAATTAATTAGTATATGACTGAATAATGACAATAAGAAGTGAAATGGAGACAGAAGGGATATAAAACTATATAGTTGAATGTAGAGACAAAGCCAAGATAACCCTAAGACAGTAACTTTAATTTACATTTTTCTATTATTTTGATTATGTAAATTTTTTTGTCAGTATAAAATAATTATATGTTGGATGAAATGCATTAAGTACCTGTAATACTGATTTGTTGGTATTTTTGCACCAAGAGCACTCATATTTTGTCTTATAGTCTCAAACATTGGAACACACTTCTCACAAATACTTGATACTGAAATAAAAATTATATTAATAGGTCTGTTATCTGTTTGTTGATGATGCTAATTGTAAACTTATTCCTTAAATCTGTCATTTTTTTTTTTTTTGTATACTTGTAACAATCCTTTTTTCTTTTGGTTAGATTTTACATCGCACCAACCGAGTAAAGGTTATATGGCAACTTTCCAGCTTTACTGATGAAGGAAGACCTCACGTGCCCTTCCATGGTTTATTTCTGGCACGGACAAGCACCTGCTAGATAGCTTTTCAATAATTAGTTAAGTGTTTAAATTGTTAATGTAGGTCTGTCAATGGTTTGTGCATGTCAGTACACTGTTGATATATGCCTTCAAATGTTTGTCAGTCTCAGTGACGTAAGTAAGGTCAGTTGTTGATATAAACCTGTCTGGTTTTAATATGACAATGCAGGGATTTGTGACTTTGGGATCTGTTTTTATGACATCAGGAATTTACTCACTGTGTTGTTTTGCTAGTTAATTCCATCATGGTGCCGCCCTCTTAACACACCTTCAGTTAACACACCACACACGCAAACATACTGGTACCCTTTTGCTAAATTGTTTTGTACCAGCCCATTTTGCATGGAAAAAAATATTCAAGCTGCCATGATTTCTATATGAACGGGAGGAATTCATAGCTTTTTTACAAGTACATTTACATGCTAGTACAAACAGGTATATAACATTTGACGAAAACCATCATTAACTGTAGGGCCGGAGAAGTGATTTCACATGAGCAGATAGATTGGCCAACAAACAGACATGCTCTCTCCAGTTAATCCCCTTCAAACTTTGTTTGCAGAGATAGCGAATATTAAATACTGAATAACTTTGTTGAAATTTCTTGTAAAATGTAAAGTTACCAGACCTGATTTGATTCCATCTGGTTGATGTACACTGTGTAATTGTGTCAAAATTTCTCTGGCGGTCTGCTCAACCTCTCTTACTACCACTCTGATATCCTAAAATAGAAAAAAAAATTACATTGTAATACCTGTACTGTGCCAGTTTAACATAAAATCTTTACTTTAAGGACTACCTGATTCCCTTATTTTGTAACCATCATTTTAAACAAATGAGAAGCTAAATATATAATCTAATTCCCTCCCTGAGATATGTTAAAGACAAAAGACTTATTGTCATCAGGTGGCCATAAGGTGGCCAATAATAGATCACCTCTGTTGCTGATAGTAACATTTTGTTCACTTTTAAAGGGGATGAACTCCATGTCCCCTAGCTGTAACCTGTCAAGGTCTTATTGTAAGATCCTTTCTTGGGAATTGTTATTGACAGTGATATAAACAGCAGTGTCATCAGCATGTAACCACACCTGTGAAACTAAATTTTCAGGCAGGTAATTTATATATAACAGAAAGAGAAGGGGACCTAGGACAGAGCCTTGGGGGACCCCAGATGTTACAGTTACCTCATCTGACATTTCCCTATCTACTATAATGGACTGGTGGCGACCAATCAAGAATGATTTTACCCATTGCAATGTGTTTCCTTGGATGCTGTGTTGATGTAGTATCTCATGCTGAAGCTGAGTTGGAGAGAGTAAGTGAATGGCTAGGACCCTTTGAGGGTCATGACGAACTTGTAGATGTGATACGAATGAAAGATGATTTTGTGCAATTTAAGATGACTGTTAAAAATCTTAAAAGCCAGTCATTGGCAAGTGTTTGCACTTCAGTCATAACAGACTACAATGTTATTTTCCCAGACTATTCTATCCTTTGTAAATATACAAATGTATGCTGACTACCCCTTTAACAATCAGTGTGAAATGTGAACAGTGATTTAACTGATTTTCAACCCAAAACAGACTAAAAGTGAAAGCAAGGTCCTCTCTTAGTCACCAGAAAGTGGCTAAACTAATCAGAATCATGGAAGAGGGAGACAATGTAGGTGCTATTGAAATGAGATTCAACAAGATGACAAAGACTGCCAGAAGAAAATAAAATATAGACTAAGAGTTGAAAACTAGAGTTGAAAACTATGAGTATAAAATCGTAAGACGTTACTTGGATCATGAAACAATTAGTCCCTTAAAATGTGCTGAATATGAGAACAAGATATTTTGCTTCATAGAATACCTCTGTCAGATATGTTAAGTTTGTATATATGACTTAAATGTGATAACTTGGTGAACTTTTTGTCAATCTTGAAGATGCATTGGTTCATAACTTGAATACTGATCACTTGAATACTTGATAACTTGATCATTTTGTCTTTTCATAATATCAGATGAATCATGACTTTTATTTACTTAATTTAATTTGCTATTTTACTGTTGATTCATAGAATACCACATAGAGATTATTTCAAGTCATAGGACCACATCAGATGACTTATTTTTAATTAACTATTTATCTATAATAAGCTATGTTTAATACACATCAGATGACTTAATGAACTTTTTATCAGATGATTTAAAAATCTATTCATTTATTAGCTATGTTGTTCTAGTATCTATGCGTTACTTAATTGATTGTTGATAATACAAATAATATATACATGTACCTTCTGGAAAATGATTCATGAAATTGAAAACTCTGATTTGACTCATGAAAATTATGGTCAAAGAGTCATTGACTCATGAGATTCCGACCCTACTGACAGCCCTGATGTAGTTTGAATAGGAGTTTTAAGATGGTTAACCTTATCAAACCCTTTCGAGAAATCTAAATTACTAAATCAGTCTGGTGGCCTTGTTCTTGAGGTTTCTTGATAGGTCTGCTACAAGTTCTAACAGCTGAGTTTCACATGACCTTTTTTGAGTTTTTTCTGTAAACCCATGTTGTATGTTTTAAGCAATGCTTTCAACCTGGAAAGGTACGTCTTAAGGAATGCTGTTAACCTGGAAAGGTTTTGTTATGTTGGATGCTACTATGTGCTCAAGTAATTTACAGAGGACAGGTGAAGAATATAGGTCTATAGTTAGCAAGAGTGCCCTTATCTCGCTTTTTATAGATTGGGGTGACATTGGCTTTTGACCAGTCTGCTGGGATGATTCCTGTAATGTAAATAAGTTGTTTATTAAACAATAAAGCACATTAGTGGACTAGTTTTGATACATGTAACAACGGCTAATGTGATTGTTAGATATCCTGAATCTTTTTTTATCTTGCAATAATAATTATTCAAACTATTTCTTCAGTTAGAAAAAGTTAATGAAGAAAAATTAATGCCAAATAACTAATAATAAAAATGGTGTCAAGTCTGACTAGAAATCAGATTGACTTAGGGCCAGGTTGAATAATTTTGGGCCGTATTCACTTGAGGTTGGGTAGTCTCAATATTTCGACTGCAAGACCGACCGATTTTATAATCTGATTTTTTCATAGATGTCTGTCTGTCGCAAGGGCGACCATCATCTATATAATAAAAACCCTAAAGCGCACAATTTATTGGGCTAGAGGTCGGGTTGATTTGTGGTCGGGTTGACTTGTACCGGGTTAAACTGTTTAAATTCCAAGCTGAAGTACTGTACAAAGTTTCAGAGACTAATATTTTTTGCATTTTTTTATATTGTTAAAATTAAACTTTTAAGATACTGTTATACAACCAAGATATCATGACATTTTCATCAGAGCTACCCTAGGAAAATATATCCGAAATATTTGTTATCCGAAACCGGCAAAATGACACATGTTTACAATCTGTTTCTATTTCAGCAATACGTTGGTGTTTAGCCGTCATACCTCTCGTAACTGTTGTTCATTCTCGAGAAACTGCTGAAAATCACAGAATATCTGTGTTATATTGCTTTGGGCGGTCATTTTCAATTATCGTTTTTTCGGGATAGGATCAATTTTTCAGGTAAGCACCGTATAATTTGCTAACCAATCAGAATCCAAATAGAAAGCGTCAGAGGCAACCAGAATAATTTCATTTTATTTTTAATTTCGTTTTTTTCATCGATAAGACCTATGTTTGATTGTTTGTAATGTCATCAAAAAGAGGAGACATTAAGAAGGTAATGTTCTTTCTTTTCAATTAAAACACGTAGATAAAACCTATGTTCCGTTTCTGGTAAAATGGTCAACTCGGCCCAAAACCAATTCGGCCCACTATTTTATCTAATAACATAGTAAATAGATTCTCTCTTTCCTTTTAAAAAGTGCCATTGTATAATGTTTTTTCGTAAACAAACATATATTTTGTACCTTAAAGTCGTAAAATTTTGCTTTAAATTTGAGTCAGTGGAATCTACATTCCATGAAAAATGTCAATCTCCATACATAAAGTAACACATCCAGGATATGACTGTGTAATGAACAATGTTTCATAAATGATTGATGAAAATAGAAATAAAAAAAGGCAATTTATTTAAGAAGTTGAGTAATACAAATATAGGTGGGTCAATGATTTTTTTCACTGTATTTTACAGCTGAATAAAGGCTGTTTCCCTTAGTTCAAAAATAAATGTAGGTATACTTTTTCCCTAAATATTATAATATTTTCCCCTAAAATGCCTCATGCTCTTCCTTACCAGAACCATGACTTAAAGCTTCTGTTTTATATTAGCTAGAAGACAAAAATCTGCCCCTATAGATAGCCTCTGCTATGTACCATGCATGTAACAAATTGAATTAAAATTAGACCGCCTCCGTGGTCGAGGGGTTACAGTTGCTGACTTCTAATCCAGTTACCTCTCTGGCGTGGGTTCGATCCCCGGGAGATGATTTGGTAGTTTAGCGCACGGGAAGGTAGTCTTGTACTGGTGTAACTCTCCAGGAACGATGGTTAGGAATTTACTACCCACCTATATGACTGAAATACTGTTGGAAAAGGGCGTAAAATGAAACAAACAAACAAACAAACAAAATTATTTTTTTCCTATATAATGTGTGTGAAATTCCATTTTTTGATTTCAGGATCCCCCTTTTCTGCTTTATCGCTCTGTATTTTTCCCTTCAGAAAGAACGGGTTGTTTTGAAAATTGGGAAAAAAATCACTGTGGGTAACAGTTTTGCATCTCGGCCAGATACTGAGATAGCATATTTTTTGCAGATGACACACATTTTAATGAAGTCAATGCATGCCAAGTCGTGCATCTGACGATCTTTTCAACTCAATTCAGTTAATCTTAATCGTATCCTGAAGGCTCCGCCATGTTTGTTTTCACTTGCTTTAATGACTAAAATACGAACTAAATCGCGGATAGTCACACCTGACTTGGTCATCTCCCGTGTAAATTGATGGTTTGATCTGCACACTTTTTCGTCATTTTTTTTTCCATTTGCTGTTGAGTTGACAATAACTGTCAAAAATGCCTTAACGTAAAATAAATTATTTCTTTTCGGTATGTCATATTGTTAGTTAAATGCCTGTCCCCCATATCATTTTCAAATCCCCCCACATTTTTCAGTTGAGTGAGGAACAATCCCCCATAATTTTGAAATTCTAGATGCAACACTGCATAATTTGTATAAGGTCCTAAATATTAGGGCCGAGCTGATCCAATTTCCTGGTTTTTGCTTCATAGTATTCCTCGGACAAATCTACAATTTATGCATTAAATTTTTATAGGGAAATACTTATCAGTACTTTGTTTTCTTAAATCAAATATAATACAGGTGTCTTAAAAATTTTAAAATAAAAAGTTTATATATAACCTGTTTCTCCTTTTGAGAAACAAGTAAATATCAATCAATAGTTATCAGAAATTATAACAGTTATTCTATTTTGGCTAGGCTGTTGGGAATTATATCTTTTTGAAATTTGGAAAAAAAAAGAGAGGAAATCTTAACATTTTTTTTCTGGAATGATAAACTATATTTTCAAAAAGCAATTGTTTTTTATCAGCTCATTTTGCATTTTATTGATTCACAAAGATAAATTTGCACTGAAGAGAAGATACATTTTAGGATATGGATGTTACAAGCTGCAAGGACCTATTCTATCTGGTTTAAGTATACCCAGTCCCTGATCATATAAGAAACCCTGATGATACTTTTTTGCCCATGTAATCAAGTTGATAATTGTGCTTTCAAATTGATTTAATTTCAATTAATGATGAAACAAATTGAAAAATAGTTTCAGCTTACAGTTTAATAAGAACCTATTAATGGACAAACCATAATTGTTAATTGAATCAATTTATAAACAAGTTATAATATATGTAATTTATAACACAAAGTTCTTTCTTTTGTTTTATTATTATGTATCACATACATGAATTTTTAGCTAAAGTTAGTATCATATTTTTTTTTAATTTCTGTATATAGACAGGAAACACTGCATTAACAGCAGTAGCTCTTCAAGACCACCTGGTTAAGTCTCTGGGACTTAATGATTTCATTGGTCCAAGACATATTGGAGTTGGTCCTGCAGCAAGAGCAAAACAGAAAAAGTCTGTGCGGTCAACCATAGATACTGGACGATTTGGCAGAAGTATGTACTAATCTTATCATGCACAGTTTAATAATTTTTATGAAAGGTTAATGAACAGTTTGTTGCACAAAAGTTAACAATTGTTGGTTATCATTTTATATAGTTAAAATTTTTATAGCTTGCCCTACACAGTGCACTGTAACCTCTTTGTGCCAAGTATTAACTGCTCTGTTTTGCAAACTTATTGAAGTTCAGTATCTTCTCATAGATATATTTTTGTCAGCTTCATTGCTTAATGGACAGTTTATATCACCATTTCTACATGATACTTTCATTTCAAGAAAGCATAAATGACTTCTAAGCATAAAAATTTGAAATTATTTCCCATTTATAATCTAATTTTTTTTTTTTAATTTTGATATAAATTTTTTTGGTTCACCTGCTTAGAACAATTAGGATAGCATTGAGATTGTAATATAGGAGCCTCTAATTCAGTCACTGATGTCAGGTAAAATTTTTCTGTGATAAACTTGGACATTGAGTCTATTATGGTCACTTGTCTCTCATGACTGATTAGGAGATTAGTAGTTGGACACTTGCAGAGAATTTGGTAATTACTCGACTCATCAGTTATCAAGAAAAGCCAGTTAAATGGACCAATGAAAGAGATATAATCAACACTGTGTTGAAATTGGAGTAAAAACAAACAATAAATATTTGAATTATTTTTCAGATAAACCTCAAGTAAAGAAGAAAGAAGAAAAAGAGAGAGAATATGTTTTAGACCCAAAGCCTCCTCCACTCACACTTGGTTTGTTATTACCAATATTTGTTATTTCTTTGCCCTTTTATTTGATATATTTCAGCATGTTTTAATACCTTCATTTGGTCTTTAAAATATGTGTCAGTAGCATTAATCCAATGTAAACTGTGTCAGCTATTATACCGTTTTTCTGAAATTTTTGTTTGTTTTTTGCATGATTAGATATGAGAATTTTAGGTTATCTAACGTTTTTTACAAAAAGAAGACATTTATGTAAAAGGTAAGAAATAATTATTCAAAATCAAAGTATTTAAACAGCTCAAAAGGAGCTACATAGGATCAAATTCATTGGACAAAAAAGTAGGTAGGACAATAACAAATTTCTTTGAAGTACATACATTTATAAAGCTCTTATTCATAAACAAACTTGATAATTTTCATGAAACAGCTCAGAAGTTTGGTTTGGTAGATGCCCCTGAACAACTTCTCACTGAGACAGACTGGAAGAAAGCTAAAGAAAAATCTAACAAAAGAGATGATTCTAAAATGCCATGTGTTATATGTAAGGAGGACTTTGGCACACAAGAACAGGTAAATAAAACTGTTTTGTAGAATTGTTTGTGCATATTATATAGGGGTGTCATGGTTAGCAAAAATGATAAACATTTAAACGGCAACCAAATAACCGTGTTAAACGTTTAACCGGCTGTAGTTATAATGCTTAGATTTTCAACATTAACTTTGTTTCTCCATGACAAAATATAACATTCTGTTCATAATTTGTTTTACTTAACAATGATTACAATAGAAGTCTGATAATAAAGAAACTATTTTCTGTTAGGACAGTACTGTACATGATCAGATAGCATGCAATCGGAGAAAAACTGAAATACAAAAAGCTGTCATAACTTGTTATTAAAAATTATGGTAATGTTTAGAATAATGTTTTTTTTTTGTTTTTTTTAAATTGGTCTAATACAAACCTTGGTTACCGGTTATTGAGTTTCCTAACCGGTTTTTAGCTAGAAACTGACCGTACCCGTTTAAACGGATAAACGTTACACTCCTAATATTTGATACATACAGAACTATGAATTTGTAATGTTCTGGATACATCTTGTCTTTTTTTTTTTCTTTTTTTTTTAATTAACAAATATACTAATGACAGTATTGGTTATGGCTATGATTCAATAAACATACAGTCAGGGATATGCTGTCAGAAAATATTAGATTTCTTTTTTAATTTTTGAAAATTGTTTATATAAAGAATTATATTATGCTCAAATTGATATTTGAAAAAAAAACAACTGATAATTACTATACAGTCTCTTTTGAAATGTAAAATAAACATTTTTTGAATACACACAGAGAAAATATGTTATGTTTTAAACTCTACACACTACAGGTAATCACAGTATGATTACATATTGTCATTAAAAAAAACTGGCATTTTTTTATAAGAATAGAGCAAATCATTTGACAATTAATAGGGAATGCAGCTTCCCTAACACAATTTATATGTTCACTTATTCAAATTGGACATATTAAGAAAGAATGAACTAGATTTCAATAAATTTCAGCAATCAAAGTATTTTACCCAAAGGCGAGCATGGTATATCTTTAATAAGGATATTCAAGTCTTAAGATCGAAACCAGCATCTATGAAATTCAGAGCAGACAGGGATAGATTATCATCTGATATTTGATAATTCAAAATTTTGTTAGCATACTCTAATAAGGAAAAAGATATCAATTTTAAGTGCACTGTTGTAGAATAATGCATGGTTAAAGTACAAAGCATTTAAATGATAAACACTGCATTATTTATTATTACTGCAATTAAAGAAAAATTGTAAGCATTCATTTTCATGCTGTGCATTTAAAAATACACTTGAGTATCCGTTCTGTTTCAACCATTGTATTGTTATTTTTTCAGGTGCTTCTGTCCTGTACTCATGTCTTTCACAGGGTAATGTTATTGTATCTCTCTTTATTTACTGTTATATTCATTATGGTATTATAATACACATGTTTTTACATTTAACTTCCATTCCTGCAAAATAAAAAGGATTGTTTTTTTTTTCTAAGATGTTTGATTTTTTTTTCAAACAAAGTTTCCAGTACTGAAATAAGTAAAATGTTTATGGAAGTGCATATTAATTTTCCTTTCACTTTAGATGCAATCCATATATGCATTATAAATCAACAACAAAATCCCAATGTACAGTGACATAGTGAATGTGTTAATATATAATTATACATGTATTATGATATTTTGGTGTTATAACAGGCATGTTTGCAAGCTTTTGAGAGGTTTACTGGAAAGAAGACATGTCCAATGTGCCGTAGAGAACAGTATCAAACAAGAGTTATACATGAAGGATCAAGATATCACAGACATAAATGTGCTACAATGTAATTATTGTAATAGATTTCTACATTTTTATGCTCACTGGGTATTTGATTATTTAGCATATAGTAGCCTGTCTGTCTCACAGTCTGTCCTTAATGTTTATACTTCAATCTGTCTTTTATTATACCCCTGACTAATGAAGTTTAAGGGGGTATACAGGAGTCAGCTGGTGGTCGGTCGGGCGGGCAGTCGATCGGTCAGTCCATGGCAGAATTCTTGTCCGGGACATAACTCTGAAAGTACAAGAGATATCAACTCCAATCTTTGTATGAAGATAGAACTCATTGAGAAAAAGTGCAGTGCAAAAGAGCTGTAACCCTGCCTTTCTTTATTTTGGAGTTGCCTTTTGTTCAGTTTTACACTTTGAACATTGTCCATGACATAGCTCTGAAAGTATAAGGGATATGAACAAGACACTTTGTAGGTAGATAGATCTCATTAGGTAGATATGCAGTGCAAAAGAACCAAAACTCTGACTTGCCTAATTGTGAAGTTAATGCCCTTTGTTCATTTTTACACTTTGAACGTGACATAACTTTGAAACTACAAGATGTGTACTTTTCTGTATCCAAAACTTATCTGGGGAGCATCACCCGGTTCAAACCGGCTCTTGTTAATTATGTGAGAAGTCAATCGGACATGTTCATATTAATAATCAATAAAGACTGACATGAAATAAAAGACATTCACCTGCTATACCATTACTTTCTTAAGTGTTTTTGTATACTCATAGACCTATATATTTATCAATGACAAAAATCAAAATTTCATAATGATTGAGTACATTGAACTTGTTGTACTTTTTTTTCATAACTCATTTCTCCTGTTTCTTTTTGCTAGGATTCAAGCTTGCTGGAGGGGTTATGTAGTACGATGTATGTACGTTAAACTGAGGGAATCTAATCCGCCAAAAGATCCCAAATTGAGGCAGAAATTCTATGAAGAAAAGGTAACTGTTTGCTGTAACATTCTTCTGATATGAAGCAGATTGAAACTGACAATTTCATGGGTTTTTTTATTAGCTTGCCAAGATTGCATAAAAAACTATATCTGAACAACACATTTAATTGATGAAAATTGTGCATTATATGTATTTTTTATGAGTTTTTCCCAGTAAAGTTTTTCAAAGGCTTTTTAAAAATAAAAATAAAAATTGGCATAAATTCATTTTAATATACAATATGCAGAGCTATAAGATTTACCTTTTATAATCAGGATCTATGGCTTTTTAGTTTTAGGACTGATATTATATAATCATGTTGGATATTATTTTAGCTACACAAGATCACAGACAGAATGGTAAGGTCATGTGACTTTGATGTACACAGCTTCCTGAGGGAAATGGATCAGAGTTTAGAAGCTAGCCGCAATGTTTTCAGAGATTTTGATGCTAGATTCCAGCAGATTTCTGAGGAGGACTGGGAAGCTATACAGCTTAAGGTAACATTGAATTTATGTTGCAAAGCATTTAAAGTGACATCCAGGTTTTATTTTTTATTGGAAAAAAAAATTCTGTGTTGTTTCAAACTAAATATTTCAGTAATTTTATCTTTGAAAAGTGCATCATATCAATTTAAAGCATTCTTCCTTCAAGGGTATTCATTTTCTGTGATTGGAAATTATATGAAATCAAGCAGAAGTTAGATGATACATTTGTGTTTAGATAATAATTTTAGAGTCATATGATGTAAATTTTTCACATGAAAATGTTATGAACATATACTTAACTGACTGAAAGAAGAAGTAACATGATTCAGAGAAATTTATTTCAGGTTTTATTGCTGATGAATTGTATATCTTTAAATTCTGTATTTGTCATGTCCCATAGTCTCAGCTATCAATTTTCTGTAGTTTTCATTTAAATATTTATTGATAACACATATGAGAAATTATATAAAGAAGACATAATTTGATGGTTTTGAACCCTTAGCCTACTGGCGACAACAAAATCTGCCCGTGCAAGCAGTGCAGACAAAAATCATCCGGCACATATGGCCTGCTTTTTAGTCAGGACAGTTCATATAGGATATTTTGGATAGAGAGTGTTAATAATCTTATTTGACATAAAAAGGACCTATACAGTTTTATGCAAATTGGCTGACTGGCTATCAAATTGTTACACTGGGATTATACATGGTCATTGGGTACCTTAGTTTACACAAAAGAACACATAGTTTTGTTTGTTATACTGTTAGCGAGCAGTTGAATATAAACGGTGGGGCTAAAGTTTTCACTGCTAAAGAATGGAAATGTTCATTAAGATGGGACAATGTACCTCCTTCTTGCCAAGCATGTCATGTTAATTTTACCAATTATTATTTGATGAATGACACATGATGAAGAATTTATACCATAGTTCTACATCATTTTGTTATTCCATTTATTATATCTTAAGATTTTAAGGTGAGTTTTCTGATGTTAAATTGTCATATTTAGATCAAATTTTCACTGGATAGAAGTCAGTCTTCACATATGTTTGTTTCATCACTTTATCATGAACAATTTTCTTGTCCACATGTAAAATGTTTGATATGACTCACACAATGATTGTTAGTAAATGTTTAATTTTTAGGATATTTTGTAGACCCATTTTATAGTTGAGTAATATTGTCCATAGAAAATAATGTGTTTTCATATACATACATGTATGTATTACCAGTACATAAGTAAATTCCAAATTTGGAGCAAAATTGTTAAAGTTCCATATCCATATGGTATGGCTCATATTTCAATTGTATTGTAAGATAGAAACATCTTTGGTTGGGTCAGAATCTTTCTGCTTTCATCCCAAGATCAAGGAAGAACTTTTTTATAAGTCTTTACACATTAGGATATAAAATAATGTATAAATTATGTATTCAGTCTCCATTAAAAAAACAGTGTTTTAATTGTAAGTGTTACAATCTTTCGATCACTCATATGAACTTTGGTAACTGTAGTTGCATTTGTGAACCAAAATTTATTTGGTTACATGTGAATTATATTTTGATATTTCACAAAATTGCATACTGATAGTGATAAGGTCTTTGTAAAGTAGTGAAAGTGACCAAAAATTCATTACTTTTCACTTCCATGTTGTATGTTTTACTTTAACAATTATTAAATATGGAATAGTAGTTTGTACAATGGGAAATATTCATATGCTGGTTGAATTGCCCTTTACAGTAGCAAACATGTTGTTGAACTTTATAAGTTCAAAAAAGCATGATATGAAATGCTGCATGATAGATGTTATCATTTACATGAACACACTGAACAGTCAAAATCTTGTCATTAAGGTGTCTGCATGAATAATTTTTTTTTGTCCATTTCTTTTAAATATTGCATTTTCTTGCCATTTAGGTAAGATAAAGCTTTGCCATTTTATCATGTAAAATTAAATTAGGATTGGTAATTATTAAATACGAAGCCTGTGGAGTTTTATTACAAGAAAATAAAGATAACAAATGTATTTACATTATTTGAATGTCACATCACTTGTTTAGAATGAGGATTATTTTGTAATACAACTTGTATTTAGGAAATTAATTGAAGATTTAGATTTTTATCCCATCTTGCTATACTAGTTCATTTTACTTACATGTTGCTTTTTCAAAGATTCTTGTTATACAATGTATTTAATATTTGAACCACAACAGAATTAGATTCAAATACCATTGGGTTCTTTTGATATCTTTGATTTAAGTATGATATAATTTTATGTTTGCAGGCGGTAGAGCGTGGAGATATTGATTGCCCTATATGTTTGACTTCACTCATCAAGAAAAGTTATATTGAACAACCAGACCATTCCACAACTAACCAGACTAAGTCTACAAAAAATGACACTAAAATTTTAATAAACCAAAGTCTTCTACAGGGAAATCTCTAAAAACTGGTGAAATAAATAAAGAGAGACAAACAAAAGTGGACCAGTCAAAATCTAGTGAGAAAGTTCAAAGGTCATGTCGACAAACTGTGTTGCTGTCTTGTTCTCATGTATTTCATGCCACTTGTTTAAAAATGTTTGAAGAATTAAGTATGGAAACAAATAATTCTTGCCCTGTATGTAGATCTAAATACCAAAAGAAAATTTTAGTTACCTAGCAACATTTTAGTAACATAAGTTTTAATATTGCAGTGCCAAACTTTAGATTACCAGTACTATTTTGAAGTGTCCATGGCCGGGTGGTAGAGGTTGTTGACTTCAAACCACTTGCCCCTGATCACTGTGGGTTTGAATCCCAACTTGGCCTTTGGATTCTTTCATGTGAGGAAGGTTTTCAGCTAACTTAAGGGAAGTCTGTGGTAAAACAAAGGATGAAAGTGTAACTGTTTGATAAATATTGTTTGAATTTACTTTTAGTTTACTGCTGTTAATCAGTTGATAACAACACTTTTTTGTCAATGTGTTTCACTGTATGTATAATTAGAACAGTATTTTTACTACAATAAACGAAGTGTTAAATTGTTACATGTATATTACTTACCCTACTTGGAAGGTGGAACAGAAAGCGATTTGCTTTTGCTTCCAGTATAGTGCCAGGCTAGCCTACATTGTCAGTGCAGTAGACCAGGCTGTACACTCAGTTGACTGACTAACTCCAAATTATTATCTTGATATCCCCAAAATTGATATATTAGACCATTTCAGAAATAGGTGCTGGAAAAGTCTGTATAAGAAATATAGCAGGTTATGGATGTCTGATATCTGTTACACAATTAACCAGTTATATATATCAATTATCTTATTTTGCTCTCTTAGATTACCCTATTTTGTATGAAAATCTTTATTTAACATTTTCATTGTAACAGGAGTGATTTCTTTGTAAGTGGGATGACAAATATTTTGATTCAGTGTTGTTATTGATTTTTTTTAAATGAACATTGTTGTTTTAATTTTATTTATATTTCTGAAATATTATTGTGATTTAAAACATTTTGTGGCATATACATAAAATGTTGTAGCATATATTACTGACTCACAAAGCCATGTTTATTTATATTCATGTTTATTTATAGATTTGTGTTTGTTTATATATTTATTTTGAATTTTATACTGAAATACAACCTGAAAACACCAGTAAAATTGACTTTTGAAGAACAATTATTTAATATCCCCTACCAAATTTCTATATGGACTCAACCAGTCCTGGAAAAAGTCAGGAGTATTGATAGTAGATATATTCATTTTAGCTGAATCTGGTAGCCTCATTGATCCCTGCCTTTTCGAAGATATAGAAATAGGCTCCGTCCATCCGTCTGTCCATCACACTTTTGTGTCCAGTCCATAACTTTGTCATTTATTAAAAGAATCTGAATAACTGTGCACAAATGTTTGTTATAATAAGACGATGTGTCATGCGCAACAACCAGACCTCTACCTCCAGGGTCAAGGTGGCACTTGCTCATTCAAGGTCAACATTGTCTATTTGAGGGTATATGTCGTGTCCGGTTCATAACTTTTTTGTCTTTGAAGGGATTTTGTAAATACTTGCCACAATTGTTCACAACAATGAGACGATGTGTCATTGGCAACAATCTGTCACCTACCTCCAAGGTCAAGGTCACACTTGGAGGTCAAAGATTAACATAGTCTGTTATATGGTATATTTTGAATCTGGTCAATAACTTTTTCATATATCAAAGGATTTTGAAAATACTTGGCACAAATAGTCACTATAATGAGACGATGTGTCATGCGCAACACCTGCATCCCTACCTCCAAGGTCAAGGTCACATTTTGAGGTCAAAAATTAACATAGTCTGTTGAAGGGTATATATTGTGTCAGATCTAGAACTTCTTCATAGATTAAGGGATTTTGAAAATACTTGGCACAAATAGTCACAATGATAAGATGATATGTTATGTGTAACACCAGTGTCCCTACCTCCAAGGTCACATGTAGAGGTCAAAGATTTACATAGTCTGTTATAGGGTATATTTTGTGTCCAGTCGATAACTTTTTCATAGATCAAGGGATTTTAAAAATACTTTGCACAAATAATCACAATAATAAGACGATATGTCAGGCACAAAACATGGGTCCGTACCATCAAGGTCACACTTAGAGGTCAAAGATTAACATAGTCTGTTAGAGGGTATCTTTTGTGTCCCATTTATAACTTTTTCATAGTTCAAGGGATTTTGAAAATACTTGGTACAAATAGTTACAATAATAAGACGATATGTCATGCTCAACACCTGCACCCCTACCTCCAAGGCTAAGGTCACACTTAGAGGTTAAAGCTTAACATGATAGATTTTTAAATTCAGTGTTTCATTTTATTTCTTTAATAAATTTATTGTTGCATTTGCAGATCTAGAATTGATCATAATTGTGCCCCCACTTTAGTGGCGGGCATTTAGATTTACCTTTGTCCGTCCGTTCTCTTTTGTGTCGCACGTAACTCAAAAAGTATTTGACCGAGAGTCATGAAACTTTACAGGAATGTTGATCAGCATGTGTAGTTGTGCACCTGGGTATTTTCGTCTGGATATTTTTAGTATTTTTAGAGTTATTGCCCTTGACTTAGAAAATTTTTGCAATTTTCAATTTGTGTGGCATGTAACTCAAAAAGGATTTTACATAGAGTCATGAAACCTTACAGGAAGGTTGCTCAGCATATTTAGTTTTGCACCTTTGGTTTCGCTTGTGGATTTATCCAGTATTTGTAGAGTTATTTCCCTTGACTTAGTAAAAACCGTTTCATTATGTTGTTATTTGTTCCTTGAGTGCTTGAGATAGAATCAACCAACTTTACAGGAATAGTGATCAACATCTCTAAATTACAGGAATAATGATTCACATCACTGCGAAGCTATGCACCTGGGACTTTGCATGTGGATTTTTTTCAGTTTTGTAAGAGTTATTGCCCTTGACTTACAGTAGTAAAGTTTCAACTTGTTCATGCATAGCTCAAAAAGTATTTCACTTGTAGGCCTGAAAGTTTACAAGAATGTTGGTCAGCATGTGTACTTATGCACCTTGGGGTTTGCTTGTGGATTTATTCAGTATTTGTAAAGTTCTTGCCCTTTACTTAGTAAAAGATTTTTAGTTTTCAAAAAATATTTGGCCTAGAGTCATAAGATTAACAGAACAGTGGCGTGGTGGGGGCACCCGTGTCCTATGGACACATTTCTAGTTTTGGACTGAAAGTCCTTAGATCCATACCTCAATCTTTTGAAATAGTACAATTTTATGCTTCATATAAAACTTCCCTGATGCGGGGGACATTGGTAACTCTGTTACAAATTCTTGTTGAACCAGGTATGGTGTTATATAAGGTAACTGCTTTCCTCTGGTGCTGTAAGAGGAAATATCTAATTTGATGCATATCTCATATATACTTTAAAAGTTTTGAGATACAAGCTTAGGGAGAGCTTTGGAACAGGCACCCTCCGCTCCCTGCTTTCCTAATATTCATTTTATATTAAAGAATTACTTAACACTTGGATAAAACTATAAAAAAAATCATGATGCAATTTTGGTTAATTTATTGATGAGTCACCATTATACCTAGGGCTTGCCACTTCCATTATAATATCCAGTATTTGGAAATATAACAAATTCAACTAAACTTGAAATATTCATTTATAAAACATTCTATTAATACATTTAAAGCAGCATGCCTCCAGATGAGCGAAAATATTTCAATAAATCAAACTAGTGAAAATTGTACTAAGATTTTAGGAAAAGTAGAAAGATTCAACGTTCAAGTAATATTACGTGTTATGAGCAATTAATGGTGAATTTTTCATTATGTGTATCTATATTTCCACTGGGTTGCTAACGCAGCAAGGGCGTTTTTTTGCATATAGTGACCTCTTTTTGTTATTAGCTTGGGTTTGTATGTGCGATTGATGTGTAAATTGCTTTTTTTTTTGGTTACAATACAACATTATACATTTAATTACATTTTCAAAATTTTAATGAAAATAAGCATAAATCTGGAGGCGTGCTGCTTTAACATTTACACACCTCCTCTATTGTTTGTGACAGGTCTATATTTTTTCAGATAGACCTGTTTACACAAAGGAGTCTATCTTTTGCACGTGCAGAGGTCTGATTTTGTCAGACAGACCCGGTCATGTAAACCATGTGAAAAAAAGACCTCCCAATGCGCGGACAAAGTTAACATTAAATGTAATCAGAAATTAAAAATGTTTGCGGGAATACATGTAGGTGTGTCCGTTGGGAATACTGTGGTATTTTGCCAACGTTCAGCCAAAAATCGAACTGTAAATGCTTATATTAGCTGATAAAAATTTTTTAGATACCGCTATATTAAAAGTCTTTTGCATGAAAAAAGTATGTGGTTAATCATGTTGTCCGTTTTTCACTATCAAAGAATTCAACTAGAACTTTATATAGGAAATGTCTGAAAACAAATCTACACCAACATCAAGGCCAATAATTTTCTGACAACAACTTTCATTATAAAGAATCCACTAGAATAATGAATATTTATAATAATCTTGCTGGGGTTGCCGCAGAAGAGTTACAGACACAGGAACTCGGGAATCGGGACCGCAGATTGCGGCGTATATTTTCGATTGTTTAACTACACTTGTGCGTTGCGTTGGCGCTAGCGACATAGCGCCAAACGGCGCGTTGCCTCGCTGTCGTCTTGTCGCCCTGTCTCTAGCGCGGCACGCCAAACGGCGCATTGTCGTGCGGCGTGTTGTCGCGATGTCACATAGTCTCTCGGTTCAAATTGAAGGATTGGCCTATAAGCCAAGCGACAACGCGCAGCACGACAACGAGCCGTATGGCGTTCCGCGCAAGAGACAGGACGACAGCGCGACAGCGTGCCGTTTGGTGCTTTTTCGTGTTGTCGCTAGCGACAGGACGACAAGACGAAAGTCAGAAAACGCGCTGTTTGGCGCTTTTGTCGTGTTGTCGCTATCGCCAACTAGATACACATAAGCGTACCAAATCAGCCACCATACTTAACGGTTTTTAAAAATGTTTCTCCTACATCTAAATATCTTTTAGTATTACATGTTTTCGAGTGTATAGTCTCAAAGAATATACTTGCATTATCAATTGAA